GAAGAAATGCAAATGGCAAATAAATACATGAAAAAATGCTCATCATCATTGGTCATTAGAGAAATGCAAATTAAAACCACACTGAGATACCATCTCACTCCTGAAAGAATGGCCAGGATCAAGAAAACCGACAACAAATGCTGGAGAGGCTGTGGGGAAAAAGGAACTCTCCTGCACTGCTGGTGGGAGTGTAGACTGGTACAGCCTTTGTGGAGATCTGTCTGGAGATTTCTCAAAAAGTTGGGACTGGAAATCCCATTTATTCCAGCTATTCCACTTCTAGGCATATTCCCAGAAGAACTGAAAGCATCATACCACAGTGATATATGTGCACCTATGTTTATAGCAGCACAATTTGTAATCGCCAGATCTTGGAAACAACCCAAGTGCCCATCAACTGAGGAATGGATAAAAAAGTTGTGGTATTTCTATACAATGGAGTATTATTCAGCTATAAAGAAGGATCACATTGAGATATTTATCAATAAATGGGCGCAGCTTGAGACCATACTCATTAGTGAAATAAATCAATCTCGCATGTGTGAATACCGAATAGTTTCCCTAATGTAAATAATGATTCAAATATATAAAAATATGTGGTAATCATGATTCCCCATTAGGTGGCCTTGAAGCCTTATAAAGTTTTCACTCATTAATTAGAAAGGCTTTATTCTGGGCTTCTTGATATGAAAATATTTGAAGCTAGAGTATATGAAGTTTTATCCAAATATTTCAAGGAAAAAGACACTATGGTAACTACTATTAAGTCAGGTTATAAGGTGGTGAACTACTAGGTTGTTGAAACAGTCATGCTGTGACCTCTATTGTTATATTGTTATGTCCTGTTTTATCTCAATCTCCCCCTTATTGTTTCAAAAAAAATTATTTAGTCATTTCTTATGTTTGTCTTAATTAAAGAAAAAAATTCAAAAAAATTAGGATATATAAATAGTAACTCTTTTCGATTTCCTATTAACTTGTTTTGAAGTCCTGTAGTACTCCAACGATCTTGTTTTGACTGATTAGACTCTGTTCCATTCTATATGATAGTATCAAGTTTGAAGACATAGGCAACTACTTTGAAGACAATAAGATTCACTAAGATACCCATTCTGGTTTCACTATTGTCTTCTTTGGAAGTCCTGTAATGTTTACAATGCCTAAGTTTTATTGGTCTTGTTCTCTACTGTTTTGTCCAACTTTATAATATCTAATAAGATAGACAATTCTTTTTAAGGAAACAAGGGACAACGTTGATAACCATTGTTGATAAACTTGTACTCTGTTCTACATCATGTGCTATGTCTATCCTTGGTATTGACTGACAGCTTTGTTTTGCCATATTTGACTGTATTCTTCCCCCCCCCCAAAGAAAGTAATAAGCACTAAGGAGTAATAAAATCCAAGATGTGAAAAAAAAAAAAAAAAAAAAAAAAGCACCATTCGGGTTGGGTGTGTGGTGCACACTTGTAACTGGAAAAGTCTCAAACACAAGATTGATTTCTAGTTCTACTTCTGTATTAAAAGTCAGATTTTCACCAGGTATGGTAATACATGCCTATAAACACAGCACTGTGTGAGGCTAAAGCAGGAGGCTTAACAATTTCAAGTCCAGCCTGGATGATTTTGCCACTTAGCAATACCATGAGCAAAATAAAAAATAAAAGTGTCCTGGGGGAGGAGCTCAGTGTAATGGTTTTAGGTTCAGTACCCAGACATATTTTAAAAATCAGATTTTTATACATCTTTTCAAAGGAATTTTCTTATTGGTTGAATCCTCTAAGAATTCCATCTTCTAGCCCTGTGGATTGTTCTTAACTATTAATCATCCTAATAGAACTTTGTTCCAGTACACGCAAGACATGGGCCCGGAAGATATACTGTCTCCTCTTGCATGGAGGACACTGAGTGACACTATAGAATGAATCCTAGCCCACTATAACTTTTGTTGGTCTACATATAGCCTGTGTTGTACAGCAGGAAGATGCCAGGCAGTGATTTGCTGAGTTTCTTATGGATATGGAGAATACTTGAGAAATAATCAAGGTGATTTAAAAATCATAAGAGCAGTGGAGGAAATTTTTAGTATATTTGTATTAACATGATTATATTTATTGTGGGTAGGTGATACTTGCATATAACAAATCTTAATTCTTTTTATTTCATGTTCCCCTCCAACTTCTTTCATCCCATTTGCAAAAGATGTATCTCCCAGTTTCCTATTGTGTATCTTTTATTTTGCTCTTTAAATTATTTACACTTTGGGTTTTTCATGTAAGAGAAGCCATGTAGTATTTAAAATTCTGTGTCTGATTTATTTCACTTAACATTACCATGTTAAGGTAATGTTAAGTGAAATGACCAAGGTAATGACCCAAATTTTTCCTTCTCTAGGGCAGAGTGGCATCCCATTGCATATACATAGCACATTTTCTTTATTGGCTCATCTGTTGATAAATATCTGCTTCTAAGATTTAGTATTAGGAGTTGTGCAAGAAGTAGAAGAACTTAATGAGAGAAAAGAGGTGGTGTCTTAGTCACCTTACTATCAGTGAAATGTGATGCCTAAGAGCTAAAACTTAAAGGAGGAGAGATTTTTTGGCAGCCAGTTTCAGATAGCTGAGTTATTGCATGGTCACCTGGCTCCAAGACAGGAACAGCATGGTGGAAAGGTCTGGAGTAAGAAAGGTGTCACACAAAGGAGGCGAGGGAGCAGAGAGAGAAAGGAAGAGGCAGGAATGGAGGTTGGGAGAGATACATCCTTCCAGGTCCAGTGACCCACCTCCAACCAGACCCCACCACCAAACAGCTCTGAAGTCATGCGCGAATGAATGTACTGATGAGTACAGCAGCTGCCATGATCCAGCCACTTTCCCGAAGACTCCTTCTGTACCCATGAGGTCTTTGGAGGACACCCCACATCTGATCTACAGTGGTAACTGGATGGTTCTTAGTAAGATGCTGCAACTAACAGTACTTCCAAACCGTAAAAGGGAGCAGGGTTTAAATGGAGGTCAGAACTCTAGCTACAGCCCATCTTACGACATTCTGGGACTGGGATTGTATATCAGATGTGGAGAACATGTTTGGCATGCTTGAGGACCTAGGCTCAATCCCCAACACTAAAAAAATCAAAGAAATAAAAAATAAAGCAAACAATAATAACAAACCACAAGAACAAAACTTTTAAAGAATTCCATAGTAGACCACATCAAAATAAATCACTGGGCAGATTTCAGTAATGTTTTCAGTGGAACACAAATGAAAATGAATAGGTTGTTTTTATCTAGCTTGTGATTTTTTTAATTTTGAGAAATGTGTTTTTCTCTACTTAATTTGATTATAGTAATAAATGATTTAAATACCTTGATTAGAAAAACTTGGAAAGTTTCAAAAAGGACATAACAACTTTTCAAAATTATTAGCTTTTGATTAGTATATTTCTTAGTTTGAAAAATAGAAATTGTAGCTTTTTATTAAGCCAGGAAACATATACCATACTTTGTTTAAAATAATCTTGCTCATTGAGGGACCAAAAACAAAGACATACAGGTGTTTTTCCCTCTATAAGTTAAACAGTAAAACTGTATTTATGATATAAAATGTTAAAAATCCTGAAAGATTTTGGTAATGACATTGGTAATTTCAGCGATATGAATCAAGAGTCCTTGCTGACTTAAAAGTATGTTTTATTCAATAGTTTTGGTGTCTTGCCGTGGTATGTGTTAGCCTAGCCTTAAGAAAAATACATGTGGAGTATTTAAAAAGTTGTATTAGTTCTAAAGCTATTTTGAACCACTGTGGATTTTAATAATGAATTCTACATTATTTTCTTTTCTTAATTTTAAAGAGAAAAAGTACAGAAAAATCAAGAAGCAAACAAACAAACGAAACCCAACAACAACAAAAGCAAATGGCAACGACAACAACAACAAACAATAGTGATACAGGATTTCAAACCGAGAGGATAGGAATTTAACAATGGCTGTTACACTGCATATTGTTATCTTTAAAATCATTGTTCAAGTTACCAGATACAGGCATGCAAAATTGATTGAACAACATAATTTCCCTTTGAGAATTTCTTCCCCTTTTACTATATCTATTGTAACTTTTGGATCTTATTTACTCTTTCAGTTTCTTACACTAGCGAGACAATACAGTACTTACACATTAAGTTATTTTCAGTTAATTCAGTAAACCAGGGATTTTGAAAACTTACTTGAGTAAGACACTATAATAAAGTTGAAATTTTTAAAAATTTTAATGTTAATATTTACTCTGCTTTGAAATGTTTATAAGATATAGGTGTACCCTAGTTTAATTTTTGTCTTAGGGTAGATTTACAGATTTACTGCAGGTATTCTGAATGAGGAATATAGTCAGGTTTTAGGGCAGTCTGGTATTAACTACTCTGAATTATCATGTGAGTGTAGGACCTCAGACTAAATGTTACACAAAGTGACTGCTGTGTGTGCAATTTAATAATCATATAGAGCAGTGAGAATAATAAATATAACTTGGAGTCATAGGATATTAATGTACAATTTAAATATTTATAAGTCTGTTGTGAACAGTGGGTTAATATTATTATATTAATTTTATTATGATTATTATTATTACTATATGTTGATTTCTAGCTTAAATAAGCAAGTTTTCCAGCTTAAGCAAGCAAACATAAAAAGTATATGGAATGTTTTCATGGTATATTTTTGACATAATAAGAACCTTATATTTGTCATAAGAATTATAAGTATGATATAAGCTTTATCTTTGCCACTGGGCAATATTTTCTGTGTCTACTATAGCAAGATAGCAACAGTTTTTAAGGGAAATATTTTCTTATAATTCTTCTACTATCCTTAGATATATATCAAAGTAGTTGCTTAGTAGTTATTATAGATAGTTAAGTGAACTACTAGTCCATTTCTATAATATTGATGGGCTTAGTGTGATTATCTTATGAATCAAAATTACTAATGAAATCCATTATTTTATAGGTTAAAATGTATTTAAAGAAGGAGTTTGAAAAGCATGGTGCCATAGTGAATGAAAGTCATCATGATGTTTTGGTGGAGGATATTTTTGATAAAGAAGATGAAGACAAAGATGGATTTATATCTGCCAGAGAATTTACATATCTACATGATGAGTTATAGTGATGTCTTCTCATTTTATATAGTGTCTATCTTTAAAGAGAAGGCAATTGTCTTTAAAAAACTTTTAAATGTTCTGCTTTTGCTTAAAATTTTTATATTATTTTTCTGACTATTATTTAAAGCATCCTTTAGGGTTTCTAAGTAGCTATTTCTTTCTAGTAAGTTATTGGGAAGAAACAATTGATTTGTCTTTGAATGGAAGACTTCTAGACTATTTTTCACTCTAATATTGTGTCATTTGTAATTTTAAAATATTGCCACCAGGAACATGCCACAACATAAGACCACATTATAGCATAAATCAATACCTTGTATTTCTACTTCCCTCAAATTCTCAAAGTTAGATACCGATATTGAAAAAACCTTTTACATTAGCCCCAAGGCTTGTTGTTTTCATGTTATAATGAAATGGTTTGCTTTGACTGTTTGAGTCTCTGCTTGAGGACAGGAAGAAAATGGCAAACTTTTTGGTAGCAAAACAGAAGTGAGGAACAATTTGTGGATACGTGTGCATCAGAACATTCTACTCGGGACTAAAACTAAATAAGGTTTGTTCTTAATAACTAATGACCTACTAAGATAAACAGGACAAGTCATTTATGTCTTTTCTTTTTTGGAGTCCTGGGGATTTAACCCAGAATCTACATCCATCCTCTCCATTTTTTTTTACTTTTTTATTTTGAGATAGGGTTTTGCTAAGTGTCTGAGTTGCCCAGGCTGGACTCCAGTTTACGACCCATCTGTCTCAGCCTCCCAGAGTGTGGGGAATACAGGCATGGACCAACACACTTGGCTTTGATGTATACTTTTGCAGGATAGTGGCTAGATTCTTTAATGAGTAAAAATACAAATAGCTAGCCATGGATTACACATTACTCCTGTAATCCATAATGTTAGAAAACTGAGGCAGAAGGATTACAAATTCAAACCCAGTCTGGAGAATTTAATGATTTAGCAAGACTGTGTCTAAAAATAAAATAGATTTGGGACAGCTTAGTGTGAAGGCTTTGGGTTCCATCCCTAGTACCACAAACAACCAACCAAAAACAAAATAACCCCAGCTTTAACTAGTATGTAATATTATAATAACATTACATCATAAGTAAAACTAGAAAGCCAAAATTTTCTCATTTCTGCCTCATCAAAAACTGAAGCAGCACCAGGCATGGTGGTACACACCTGTAATCCTGTCTACTCCAGAGAGCGAAGCGGGAGGATCTCAAGTTTAAGGCTAACCTGGGCAATTTAGTAAGAGCTCATCTCAAAATAAGACAAAAAGGGCTAGAGGTTTAGCTCAATGGCAGGATGCTTGCCAGGCAAGTGCAAAGTCCCAGGTTCAATCCTCAGGACCAGGCTGAGGGGGACAGAGGGCAGATCTATAGATGCTACTGTTGAATAGGTGCTTATTCTGGGTTAAAAAAAAGGATGACTTTATAATTTTATCTCAAATTGGCTTTTATCTTCAATACTTAAAAAAGACTCTAAAAGTCTGTTTGCTAAGAACAACCTTATTGTTTACAAAATCATATTGAGTGTGCTGTTGTTTCTTGTGGTGCTGGGGATAGAAGCAAAGGCTTCCTGCACGCTAGGCAAACATTCTACCAGTCAGTCTCCATTGGGGCCCAAGTGCATTGTTGTCTTTGATGTTCATTGGTCATACTAGCGGTCTATGAAAAATGCTATTGAGTCTCCTTTTGCCTAATTCATAGATGCGAAAATTGATATTCAGAGAGACTAATTGTTATGTCCAAGGTTAGCGGTTAAGCTGTAGAACTAGTTTTCAGTCCCCAAATTCAGTGGCTTCTTGCTGCCTTCTACTAAAACATAGTAAGTTTGTTTGACTCCCTTGGGCCTGATTCTTTTAGGTTTGCTGTGTTGCTTGTCTTTAGGGTCTTTATCCTTTGAGGAGGGTTTTCTGGTTGTCTCTGGAGTATTAGACTTCTCCCTGTGATTCAGGAATGGCTTTGGTTTTACAGAACGATTTTGGGGGTTAGCTCTGAATTGCTTCAGACATCTCAAACACAAGAGATTTCAGGTGAATGTCTTAGGTCTTTCCTGTTTACTGCCATAGTTTTAAAGAATTATGAACAATTACATCATATAGAGACTATATATATATATAAAATATAGATTTCCCTGATTATATATTGATATTTTCATCACTAAAACAGGAAGCTCTTGGGAAGAACACAATACCTTTCTCTGTAGAAATCATCTTTATCACCAATGTTTTCCTGAATCTAGAGAGGTACAGGAACTCAGGATAAAAAAGTCTTACGCTGTGGCATGTGGAAAGGTAGCTTGTCCTGTGGTGCTTTGTATAGATATTACTTGTGCCATAAATGGTAAAGCAAAAAGAGTTAAAAACTTTTTTGGATTATTCATCTTATATAGATTTGCATCAATTTTCATCTAAGTATTTGGACACAAAAATACATACATATGTTATTGTTGTACTCCCCGTAGTTATAGCTATTTACATCTTTCCAGTAGTGTGAGACTGTGACTTCACAGGTATGTAATTTGACTCATTACTGTTCTACATGTCATGTTTAAATTTGTATGTCTGTGTTATGGTATTCTTCAAAATAAAGATTATTTTAAGATAACTGATTTTATAGAAAATCTTAAAGCATTAGTCTCCTCCATATCTTTATTGGTCTTTCTCTCCCTCTTCTTCTTTCTCTCTTTCTCTCTCTCTCTTTCTTTCTTTCTTTTTTTCTGTCAGGCATGGGATGGGAGTTGAAACCTTGTGCATGCTAAACATGTGCTTGATCACTGAGTGACACACCAGCCACTTTTGTTATCTAGGTTTTATGGTAAAAGAAAGTGAGGAAGATTGACAGGTAATGGAAGGAAAGAGTATAGTGACATTTAGAGTTGCCTCTGATTATCTATTCTATTTAGGTATATTTGTCAGGAAAACTGTGGTTTGATTTAAGCTATATTGAAATTAATATTAAACCTTGATCCTTAAGGATGATCATTAATAGTGAATTTTTAACGTGGGAGAAAATTTTTTATTTTTGGGAATTTTTGTGGGAAGAAGAGAGGATGGTAATATTGCTGTTATGGTTTGGGATTTTATGTGTGTACAATAGGTGGGCATTAAAATGGTTTATGTCTAACTGGGCAAATAAGTGCTATAAACTGCCTTATGTGATTATGTGAAATGTTGGTCTGCCATAAAATTAACAAGAAACAATGACTTCTTGTTCATATGAAGCAGCAAGCTATTTGGAGTTTTCTTTTTACAGATGAATTGTACATTTACTCCTGATGTAGGCTACTGCTTATATCCAAGATTTCAGCATGCTACCCTGTTTCCTCACTGAATTAAGTATATGGATGACTCCTTAGTGTTTGGACATTATAAGAGAAGAAGGAATGTGTGGCATGTTATAGGAAAAAAACTTTTCTCAGCTTTTTATTAAAAAAGTAAATTAGCATTATCATAATAAACATAGGGAAAAATAACAAAAAATTCCTTTTCTTGAGCTACAGAACACTTGGCCATTTTTGTTTTGTGTCCACTTTAGCGTAAGTTAAAATCTTAAGTTGTCAAACTTGATTATAAATTCATATGCTCACTTGAAAGCATTAGTATCATAGCACTTCCATTTCATAATATATGAAACCATTAATAGTAGGATTTCAGTATTCCCTGTAGTACAATGAAATCCACATTTTACCCCCTGATCACCCCCTCCCAAATAAAACACATCAGCTGGTAATGTGCAGACTCTGTTACTAGGTTTAGAGAGAGGCAGGAGTACTCAGTCATCATGGTTATGAAACAAAAAAAGGATCCAGAAATACATACATTCTTACGTATGGATTTGGAATCCTTATTTGAGGAGAAATTCTTTTATCTCTATTTTGGGGGTGTAGTCCAGTAGTAGAGTGCTCACTTAGCAAGTGTGAGGCCCTGGGTTTAATGTCTAGCACTAAAGATAAAATACTATTTTGGTTCCTTTCACCTTTGTTTGTGCTATGGCCATTCCTTGCTTCAGGATGCAGAGCATTTTGGGTTTGGGATTTTTAGATGAGGGATGCTCAACTTGTATTGTATGCAAATATTAAAAATAAAAAATGTGAAATGTGATGTATTTCTGGCCCTAAGTATTTTGGATAATGGATAATCAACTTATAGCATATATTATATGTGGTTTAAATCAAAGACAATAGTTGAAATTCTCTTACCAGTATATGAATCCTTTTTTCTGGAATCTTGTCTTTGTCATTCAGTTAAAATTTCACTGTGCATTTGGAGTCTGTCATTCTATACTTAACCCACATACTGTGTTTCAGTCATAAGTAGAATTTCCTAGTACAGGTAATTATGTAATTTCAACAGCAATCTCTCCTGCCCTTAGCTTCACATTTGCTGAAGGAATTAAGTGGTGCATTTTGATGTTCTCAGGTTATTGCCAAGAAAAGGGATAAAAACATTTGGAAGATGGTAACAGATCTGCAACACATAGTGTACTATCTGTGGATTTTTTTTTTTGTTTGTTTACCAGATCTTTGTGTTCCTGAACTGCTATTAAAGCTTCTGGTATAAAATGGATGACTTCAATGGGTATGAGTCAGCTAATAATCTATAAAGCCAGTTAGTGCCTATGAGCTAGAGTAACATTAATTTTGTTTTATGATGACCTAGAAACAAATGACATGAGGTATTTGCTGAGGTTTTTCTTTAAAAATTCAGAGTAAAGTGAACGATGTCCCCTTGTCTCTAGTGACAGCTAAATTATATCTCGCTTGGGGATTTTTTGGGATTTACAAGTTGTTTCACTAATTTAAAATTCTGTACTGCAGTAGGATAAAGATGATATGCTTTTTCATACCACAGGGATATATGTGCACCTATGTTTATAGCAGCACAATTTGTAATCGCCAGATCTTGGAAACAACCCAAGTGTCCATCAACTGAGGAATGGATAAAAAAGTTGTGGTATTTCTATACAATGGAGTATTATTCAGCTATAAAGAAGGATCGCATTGAGATATTTATCAATAAATGGGCGCAGCTTGAGACCATACTCATAAGTGAAATAAATCAATCTCGCATGTATGAATACCGAATAGTTTCCCTAATGTAAGTAATGATTCAAATATATAAAAATATGTGATAATCATGATTCCCCATTATGTGGCCTTGAAGCCTTATAAAATTTTCACTTATTAATTAGAAAGGCTTTACTCTGGGCTTTTTGATATGGAAATATTTGAAGCTATAGTATATGAAGTTTTATCCAAATATTTTAAGGAAAAAGACAGACACTATGGTAACTACTATTCTTTAAAAAAAAATTATTTAGCTATTTCTTATGTTTATTTTAATTAAGGGAAAAACTTAAAAAATTAGGATATATAGTAGTAACTCTTTTTGATCTCCTATTAACTTGTTTTGAAGTCCTGTAATACTCCCAAGATCTTGTTTTGACTGATTAGACTCTGTTCCATTCTGTGCGATAGTATCAAGTTTGAGGGTATAGGCAACTAATTTGAAGGCAATAAGATTCACAAAGATGCCCATTCTGGTTTGACTATTGTCTCCTTTGGAAGTCCTGTAATGTTCACAATGCCTAAGTTTTATTGGTCTTGTTCTCCACTGTTTTGTCCAGCTTTATAATATCTAATGAGATGGACAATTCCTTTTAAGGAAACAAGAGACAATGTTGATAACCATTGTTGATGACCTTGTACTCTGTTCTACATCATGTGCTATGTCTATCCTTGGTTTGGACTTACAGCTTTGTTTTGCCATATTTGACTTTATTCTCTCCCCCCCAAGACAGTAATGAGAACTGAGGAGTAATAAAATCCAAAATGTATAAATTTTGTTATAAAAAAGAGAGGGAGGGGAAAAAAAAAAGAGCTCTAACGGATATAACAACAAGTGTGTTTAGGGATGTTAAATAGCTGACTATATTAATGTTTTTGGATCATTGAACACAGCTGTTTGCAGTCTCTCCGTTTGAATGTCTACTTTGTATTCTTTGATACTGTGATTTGAGCAACTATTTCCAAGATGATATTATGTAATCTATTAACAGGTGATTTCTTACTGTTATGTTTTTTTTTTGTAGTTATGTAATATGTGTAACCTTACACTGCTTTGTTTTGTTTTGTGTTTTTCTCTTTTTCCTCTTAAATAAAAAAAAAAAAAAAAAGATGATATGCTTTTCAGCAAACAGTTGCAATAAAAAGTATTCATACACAATGTAAATTGAGGTATTGAGGGACAATTTACATTGTTATAAAGAATAAAGTAAAGGCACAAAGACCTTTGGGGCTTAGTTACAATTTCTTATATGTTTTTTCTCATTTACCTGTTGGGCTTAGTCTGCTGGAGTACATGTTATGTTAATATAAATATGAATTTATTTTTTACCTCCGGTTAAGAGACTAGAATGTTATTACAATCAACCACATATTAGTGGCTCTTTCCCATTATGCTTATATTTATTGGAATTATGTAGCGATTTTTCTGTAGAATACATTATTAAAGGTATCTGGATTTTTGAAATGTTTTTAGTAGCTAAATTTAATTAAGTCAATAATTAAACTTACATAGAGTACCAACAGGAATAGTAGTATAAGATTTGCTTTAGGTAAGAGTTCAACATTTTACTTGGAGGAAAGTGGAAGAACTTTTAAAAAGGGTCTTGCAATGAAATTCCCACTCAAAATTGCCAATTTTTCCCAGAGAATAATTGTTCTCTCATTGTATCTTCCTATCAATAATTCTTTGAGAATATTTTTTTTTTTTGCTAAATTTTGTAAGGCATATAGTCTTTCACAAGATGTCACGTGCTTTTTTCCCCTTGTCACATAAGGAAGTAGCCAAGGTCTTATGTTTTACATCATCATCTATAAAGAAAACTAAACAGCTTACTAAAGCTAATTGATTTTTTACATTAAGCCTGAACAGTAAATCTACCCCCTGTATTTTTTTTTAACACTTTATTACTACGGCAGTAGATCTTCAGAACTCATAACTCTTTGGCAGTCACATATTTCCTCTGAACTGGGAACTTATGAAACGTTTCTAATATTTATTTTTGAGAGAGTAGGGTTATTTTATTTTTTGCCAAGTTAATATGTAGTACAATGATTTTGTGTACCTTGATAAATTTTAGTATACTCAGAGTTGTACAGCCACCAACATAATTAATCATAGAACACTTTCATCACTTCAGAAAAACCCCTGTGCATATTAGCAGTTACTCCCGCAGCCCTATGCAACCACTCTCCCAAGCCCTATTGGTCCTCTCTCTCTAGGGGTTTGCCTGTTTTGTGCATTTTCTGATAATTCTTAAAGCTCAGCCCTTTCTTTGTATCTAAGGTAAAGATAAGTAAATTCTCCAATAAGTTTGACAGTAAAATAATTTTCACATTTAATTTTTATTGAATGTTAGTCTTTGAAATAACTCATCACATAAGAGAATTCTTCCTTTAACTAAAAACTCCTATAGCAATGTAAGACTGTTCATTCAGTTCACTGAAGAAGTAGAAAGCAGTAATCTCTGTTAAGGTGACATTATCTTAAGTGAACAGTGCTGTTAAAGTTGCAGATCTAAAAGTTCAATGTGTACAGTTCTTAGTAACCTACTGCAAAGTGGCTTCGAGTGTCTACAGAATATTAAAAACAAGTCCTGTTTTAACACTATGTAGGATGAGTTAGATCTTTTCCATACATGTGAACATAAGAAAAAAATCAGAGCTGGATGTGTAGCTCAGTGATAAAGCATTTGCCTAGCATGCATGAGGCCCTGGGTTTGTTCCCTGCAAAGAAAAAAGAAGAGTATGATATATATTATCAAGGAAAGATTAGGTTGCAAGTCCTAAGTTTCACCATCTAATCTGCTCTTTGATGATGCAAGACCAAGTCTCAGCATTCCCTTTAAATTGTCCACACAATTTGCTGAATCCACAAATGATTCCTAAATGTGCAGCAATGAATATGAAGCCTATATTATAAATGTGTGTTTAAAATTAGGTCTAAAACATTCATTGGCTTTATCTATTTCAAATTAATTAGAAGCCATTCATTGAAATGACAGTTGAATAACTGAATTTCTAAATTCATCACTCAATAATAATCAATAAGAGTTTAAAACTTCCTTTCGCCAAAATGCAATTTATAGTTGTCTAAATTATATATCTACAGGACTTGATGGGTCATTTAAATTCTAAAAATAATTTAAAGATAGATTTTAACAACTAAACAATCTCTTTACTTGCCTGTACCTAATATGGGCAGTAATTCTGTAAATTGATTTGAGGGCATTCTAAAGGTCTGTTACTATGGCAACCAAATTCAGAAAACTAACCTCCTAAACACTGCTGTCATAGATGAAGACAGGTGGCTGACTAATCTTGGCTAGTGCTTTTCATTTCCATCTTTACGCGGCTTACTGTCAGCTCCTTCCTTTGATTCTCAAAGATGATGTGCGAGGCAATTATGAGGCTTTCTTCCCCGTGCCTAAGTGCCTCCTTTGCATAACATTGTCTAGTTCATCCCCATGAGAGTTACCCCATGACAGATCTTTTTTCTCTTGCCACCATTATACACTAAAGGGAACCCTCAGTAGAAAATATCTCCATGTACAATGTGCTAAAGGCATTTCTCAATTGCACATATGTATCTCAGAATCACTGAGTTCTTAAGACATTTGATAACACTGATTAGAAGAAAAGGCAAAATCGTCAGTGATGATTTTTAAAAATTATCTATGTTTGGGTAATTCTCACTTATGCATATCTTTTGAATGTATTTACAGTTCTATGCTAAATCAGTGTATTTGTCTCTGATAACCCTCATATTACCCTGATGGCAACATGCAATAAATACGTGCATACACAGTGGCACAGATATTTCTCGGTATCCTCAGGTTCCACATCCTTGTATGAAACCAAGGATGAAAAATATTTTTTAAAATTGGGTCACATAAATGCCTGCTTGGCAAACATGAGGTCATGAGTTAGATCCCTGGTCAAAAAAAAAAAAAAAAATTGGGTCTGTACTGCATACAGTTTAACAACTATTTATGTGGTATTTACATTGTATTAAGTGTTATACATACTAGATATAATTTAAAGTATACGCAAGGTGTGTATAGGTTATATGTAGATACTATTTTTATATAGGAAAATTGAACTTCTGAAGATCTTGGTATTCTCAGGGGTTCTAGAAACAAATTCCCACGGATAACCATTGAGGATGACTATTATTTCTGTATTTAATTTTCTTGCCTCCGAATTCTCTTTCTCTGTATCTTTTTCACTTTTTGAGACAGTCTCACTATGTAGCACAGGCTAGCCTTGAACTCATCCTGCCTCAGCTTTCTAAGTGCTGGGATTATAATCTTGAGAGGAGAGGCTATGATATACTCCCCCTCCCCATTTTTATCCTTGTAGCAACAGTGCAGTGTCAGATGTGTGTTCTAGATATATGTTTCTTGTGAAGTTAATATGTTGAAGTTCTGTAAGTAGAATGCATTTGTAATTTTTCTTTTTCTTTCTTTTTTTTTTTTTTTTTTTTTTTGTCTTTTTCCTTTTTATCGGTACCGGGGATTGAACTCACGACTGCCTGCTTGCAAGGCAGGCACTTATGCCGCTGAGCTAGATCTCCAGCCCCGCATTTGTAATTCTTAAAATAATGAGTCTAGTTGAGTATGTGTAAGGAAATATGGTTCCTTTTAGGGGCATTAAAATTAGTAATTCTAGGAAGGAAAATTGCCATGGAACATGCAATAGGTTGTCCTATTGCAAACAATTAAAAAATCAGGGGGCTGGGGATTTAGCTCAGCGGCATAAGCACCTGCCTTGCAAGCAGGCAGTCCTGAGTTCGATCTCCGGTACCGATAAAAAGGAAAAAGACAAAAAAAAAAAAAAAAAAAAAATCAGGAAAAACATTGAGCAATAGGCAAAACAAGTCTGATTCTCAAGGGGGAAAAAAAGGACAAAAAATGAGATAAAATCAACAGCTGATAAGTTTTCTACTTGGAGGCAAAATGAAAGGAAACGAGCCAGGCATGGTGGTTTCTGCTTGTAGCCCTACTACTGGACAGGATTATGCAAGCCGATGACTGAGGCCCAGAGTTTGGAATCAGGATGAGCAGCAGAGCAAGATCCCATCTCAAAAAACAAATGAAAAACCCACAAAAAACAAAGAACACAAGACAGAGCCTTGTTATTCTGCTGAGTTGAAGCAAAAGATAAAGAAAAGTTTAGGGAGGTCAGTGCAGCTAGAATTTGTGAGCAGTAGACTGGAAAGAGAAAACTAGGCGGAAAGAACTTCAGAAACTGCTCCCTGGAGACATTGCCTGGATAGCCAGCCACCTGTGCATGCAAACAGTAAAATGCCACAGGCTGGACCAGGAATAGCTTCTGAGGAAAGAATAAGTACCAGAGAGCTGCAAACCAGACAATCCTGAGCTCACACAAAGCTGGAAATCATTCAAAATTCCTGCCATCTCACTGACTACATGAAACAATCGTACAGACCTTGCATGTGTCACACCTTCACTGGCCAAGCCAGTTTATAAAGCAGCCCCAGATGCATCAAGAGGATTCTTAACTAATTGCTAGCATAAAAGCTCAATACCCTTTAAGGAATAAAAAAAAAAACCTATCACAGTATAATATTCACTAAGTCTAGCATCCCAACTACAAACAAGCAGGAGGTCAGGCAATAAGCTAACCAATAAAACAAAAGTTTGATAGAAATTATGGAATTAGCACATTGTGAGAATAGGTGATATAAAAATCAAAAGAAAGTTTCAAGAGATGAAAAATATGGTACCACTATAAAAATCTCACTGATGATATTAATAGTAGATAAGAGACTATAGAAGAAGATAAACTTGAATAAATACCAAGGAAAATTCTTTAAAATGAGGCACAGGCAGGAAAGAGACAAAAAAAAAAAAAAAAAAAAAAAAGGAGGGTAAGGACAGAACCTCAGTGACCTATGGGACGATATTGCATAGTCTAAAATATATGTCATTGAAATTTTTGCATTGGAGGGAAATGATGGTTAAAATAGTTGAAATAGCATCAAAAATTGGTAAAAATTATAAACCTCCTGATCCAATAAGCTCACTGAAAAAAATGCCATACTAAGATGCACTGTACTTATATTTTTCACAATTTGAAGGGAAGAAAGAAATCTTTAAAAACAACCATCAGGGAAAAGCTATACAGGAAATGAAATATAATTTTAAATTATCTATAGAAACCATGTAAGCCTTATGATAATATCATACAAATAGAATGCTACTTTTAAATTTTTGAAAAAATAAAAGCTATCAGCCAAAAATTATAGAGTCAGCAAAGATATCCTTCAGAAATGAAAAAGAATAACATTTCCAGACAAAAACTGAGAAAGTTCATCACCACTAAATCTGTACCTACAATAATTGACAGCAATTGCAGAAGGGATGAGAGAGAAACATAAGAGTGTGCTGTTCGAAGTATTTGCATTATATTTGCAATTACATTATTTGACAGTAGACAATAATAAATTTGAAGTACATACTGTAAATACCAGAATAATAAAACAAGAGATATGACTACTGAAGAGTTGTTATAAAATACTAAAATTTTCAATAGAAAATAAGCCAAGTAAAGAGCAAGAAGAGTAAAGGGAGAAAGAAGAGATGATGCAAGCAGAAGTACGAGGATATTTAAAATCTACAATTTTTTTCTTTTTTTTTTTGTACTGGGGATCGAACTCACCACTTGCCAGGCAGGTGCTTATGCCACTGAGCTACATCCCCAGCCCCAAAATCTACAATATTGAGAATTACATTAAATGTCAATGGTCTAAAGCAGAGTTTTTCAACCTTAGTATCACTGGTAGTTGAGGACAGATCATTACTGGTTACAGCGGCTGTCCTTTGTATTGTAGTATAAAATTAGCAGCATCCCTGGCCACTACGTGCTTAGATGCCATTTGAAACCTCCTTATGTCTGCCACTGTGACAATCTCTCCAACACTGCCAAATATCCTGCATGGCAGAAATGCTCCTGCTTGAGAAACAGTGATCTAAACATTCCAATTTTAAGCAGCAAAGAATGTCACAGTGAATGAAAAGCAAGATCTAATTCTATTCTGTTCATATAACCCACTATCATATAAATCCAGAGATAGGTTAAAATAAAGGATGGAAAAAATGTACCATACAACCACTGAGGTAGGTAAGGTTGTCTTCAGGATGCTGAATACTATTAGAGTTTTTAAAAAGAAATATTTAAAAATAACTCATAACAACCGTGTGTATGCACCTTACAACAAAGCTTCAAAATACAAGAAGCCCAAACTGACATCACTGAGACAAATAGAAAGATTCACAAATGTAATTCAAGATGTCATAGTTCAGTCCCACTCTCATAATTGATAGTATAGGAGGAAAAAATCCATATGGACAGAAAAAACTATCAAGCAACTTGATCTAATTGATTTTTACAAAGCTATACTCAACAATAGAATAGACGTGTTTTTGATGTATACATGTATACATGAATACTAATATGGTCCACATCTGAACAATTATAAAACAAATATCTGTAACATTTGAAGGACTGAAATAATATATTTTCTGTGACCAAAACAGAATTACATTAGAATCAATTAGGGCTGGGGATGTCATTCAGAGGTAGAGCACTTGCTTAGCACACCAAAGGTCCTGGGTTTGGTCTCCAGCACTGTTAAAGAAAAAAAAAAAAGAAGCATTATAATAAGCTAACAATAATATCCCTGAACCTGAATATTTGAAAATTAGAAAGTTATAAATATCCATGAGATAAATTAGAAGATATAGATGTGAAATGAAAATACAACCTGTGACAGGATGAAAATGACATTATGTCTGTGTCCTAATCCCAAAAACATGTGGACATTATCTTCTGTCAGCAAAAAAGACCTTATCCACATCATTAAGCAAAAGATGCTGAGAAGGGGGGATAATCCTAGGTCACCAGGAATGGGTCCTAAATACAATTCCATTATCCTAATGCTAGAGGTACAGGGAGATTTGGTTATAATGAAAGTTATGTGAAGACAGAACACAAACGGAGATGGAAGATGCTGGCCTAGAAGATTGATGTGATGTGACCACAAGCCAAGGAATGCTGGCAGCCAGCAGACATTAGGCTTGGCAAGGAATAGATTCTGCCCCACAGCCTCTGCAGAGTGCGATTTTTTTGCCATCTCAGACTTCTGCCTTAAAACGGTGAGAGAATATGTTTCTGTTGCTTTAAACCACTAGGTTTGTGGTAATTTGTTACAGAAACCAATTCATCGCTCCCATTCAGAATAAACTAAAATCTATGAAGGTTCTCAATAGTAATCTAGACGGGGAGGGGCTAGTACATGAAATATGGTTCTATACTTTTCAAACCTGTCAGGATTGAATATTTTATGGTTTCCTTGGTAATATTATTTTCACTTTATGGCTTGTAAATAAAACCAGAAATGTTTCCAGAGTTGTACTTCCCTAGAGGAGAATCCTACATGACAATCCATAAAAGTTGAAATTACCACCCTAACTCTTATCTTTTTTTTTTCCTGGAAAAAGAAAAATCTTTGTCTACTTCATGAGGAAGAGGGTATCTGGCATACTTTAATCTATTAGCTCTTAAGTCTCTGAACACAGTTAGATAAAATATAAATGTAACAATTACATGTTATTTAAGACAATTTTCCCCTGCCAGCTAACTCACAGAAATCTTGTAATTTATCTGTGGCTAAATTTCACATCGTTGGTAGAAGCAAATGGTGAAAGGCCTAATTGATACTTCTTGATGTTCTTTGTATTTGTTGGACTGTTCTGTTCCCTTATCTCTATTTTTGTGACTTGAATGGCAGCAGAGGCTGTCTTTCCCATACAAAGCTGAGACAAATATAATGCCACTTTTTAATTAATGTTACTCAGACAAGGTAATAAGCTTTGCCATTCAGACCTGGGGACAGCAAGTCCTTTGTCATTATGTATTCTGGGGCTCCTGGCTATGCAGTCCTGTGGCTAGCTGGGGACACACCAACAGGCTTCAAAGATTTCAGGACAAAGCTAGCCATGGTGCTACATGCCTGTAATCTCAGCACTCTGGGAGGCTGAGGCAGGAGAATCACAAATTTGAGCCCCGCTTTAGTGAGATACTGCCTCAAGATAAAAAATAAAAAAGGACTGGGATGTAGCTCGTGTGAAGGCTCTAGATTTAAACCTTAGTACCATCACCAAAAAAATCAGGACAAGTAGGTAAGTTGGGAGGCTCCCATGCCTATGTACTAAGACCTCATGTGCCACTGGGCTCCTTTTGCAGAGGAAGAGGCAAGGTACACAGGTGCTGTCCTGAACATGAGAAGTGACTCATATAGGTGCCAGGAAAACATAGAATTGAATTTGCTTTTCTAGGGGTGAAGACTTCTTGAGTACCATTAAATTGGATCCTTAGAAGAGTGGCTCACAGACTTTAATGTGTAAGTGAAATACCAGAGAAACATGAAACACACAAACAAACAAACAAGTTCCCTGGCCTCAGCCCTAGAGACTCAACTCCACAGCTTTGGATGAATCCCCAGAAACAAGCAGTGTAGGAGTTTCTAGTATTGATTATTTAAAATCACAAGGCTACAGTTTCCTTCTTTGGAATAAATGAACAAAAGGTACCTTTGTGTACCAAAAATCTATGAACCAATGCTTTATTTTGCAGTATTTATACTGATTCCCTTAGTTCTCTTTCTGTTCACTCATGGGCAAGCTGCAAGTACACATAATAATCTAAAGGCATGCAAAAAAGTCTCCTTCTGTCCTTGCCAACCAGCCCCAAAGCTTTCCATCCAAGTAGATGGCGGCATCTACTATTGCAGTTTTCCTTGTATTCTGAAGATACCATATCTATGTTTGCAAATGTAAGTACAGACATATCTATTCTTATTCCAAAATATATCACTAAATGTTCTGTATCTAGATTTTTTTTATTCTTTCACTTCATATATTTTGGAAACTTTCATATGATTATAGATGATCCTCATTTGTTTTAAAAAGCTGGATAACATTCCATGGTACGATGGTGTGATTTATTTGTATAGTCCTGAGAGAGAGAGAGAGAGAGAGAGAGAGAGAGAGAGAGAGAGAGAGAGACAGAGACAGAGAGACAGAGACAGAGACAGAGACGGAATTGAATTGAGGGCCTTTGCACTGAGCCACCATCCTCAGACCTTTTAAAACAATTTTCATCTTGACACAGTGTCTGGTTAAGTTGCTCAAACTGGAGTGGAGATTGCTGGTATTACAGGTGTGAGCAACCAAGCGTGGCCTGTCTTTTGCTGGGTGACTGCTGCTGTTCTTTGCTAGTACAAATAATGTACAGAGGATGACCTTGTATTCATTTGACTCCTGTGTCAGTGTGTCTGTAGGATAAGTTGCAGAAAAGCAATCATTGATCAAAGCCTACATATACATTCATTATCCTGGGAGATAGTGCCGAATTGTCCCCTATGGAGGTTATAAAACTTTGATTTTTGCTAATCTGACAGGTGGAAATACTATCTTGTGTATTTGATTTGCAGGTGGCTTTGAGTATTTTTTCATGTGCCTAGGTGTTGCTGTTTATCTTCCTTGACTCTTTTCCTTTGATAAGGTTTTTTCTTATTAATTTATAAAAGGTAGAATCCACATCTTTACCAGTGACCTTGACGCCAACATCAACACACACACACACACACACACACACACACACACACACACACACTAGCACGCACACACAGGCAGAGGGGCGCACCCCTGCACAAGTTTATTAACCATGGCATGAAATCTTGTCTGTGCTACTTGACGTGTGACCTTGGGTGAGTTACTTAAACTCTTCGGACCACAATGTGCAAAGGTATGGCGCATCAACGTGGTCCCCAAAACCAGGGAGTGGACTGAGACACACGCTTCCACGAGGAACAGTTCTCCGCTGGACAATCCTTACCTAGGTGCCAAGGCCCAAATGCAGCGACCAAACCGCAGGGCGAGGCGCCAGGAAGAAAGCTGGGCCTCGCTTCTTAAAGCCCAGGTCTCTGTTTTGGGAGAGCCGCAACTGAGAAATAAAAAGCAAAGAGGAGCCAGTTGTCGACGAAGTCAGTCCCTGGGCCGCCCCTCCAGCAGGCGGAGCGCAGCACCGCGGCCCGGGAGGCCAGAGGGGGGCCGGGATGGGAGCGCAGGGAGGGGAGGGGACGGGAGGGGCAGAAGGGAGGGCGGGCCCGCCGTCACGTGACCCGGCCAGCTGTTGGCGGGGGCGGTGGGGCCCCGGAACGCTGCGAGTCTGGGAAGCGGGACGCGCCCGACGCCGCCTTCGCCACTGCAGCCGCAGCCCCTGATGCCGCTGCAGTAATCCGCCCGCGGCGGGCCCGCACTCGTGGCCGCTGCCTCCGCACCTCAGGGCCGATCCCCGAGTCCGCCGCCCGCAGGTGAGCCGCGGCCCCGGGCGCAGGGAGCCCGCAGCGCTGCCTCCTCGGCGGGTTTCGCCTTGGTCCGCCATCGCCGTCCCTCAGAGCCCAGGCGCTGGCTCTGGCGAGCTGGGGTACAGCAGAAAGGTGGTCTCGGCTGGGGCCGGGTGGCAGGGACCAGAGGCTGCGGGAGCAGGACAGGGTTACCCCGCACGGGGCGCAGGCCCCCTCCCCCACCCTTCCCCCGCCCCTCTAACTCAGAACCCCTCTGTCGGCTCTCGGCAGCTCTCCCGCGCTTCCCTCCGGGCCGCCGACTTGCAGCCCCCGCTGTGTGCCCGCGCGGCCCCTGGTCCTGCAGCCTTCGGGCGGGGCGCGGCGCGGTGGCGGAGCGAGCCCTGCGCGGTCCCGAGGGAGCGCACCTGCGGCGCGGCGAGCTCGCGGCGAACATGGCGGCCTGCGGGCCGCGGCCCTGGGCCCCCTCGGTCGGCCCCGGCTCCACCGCCCGCGACTGCCGACCCGGGTCCCGGCTCCGCCGTCCCCGCAGGGCCGATGCACTCACTCTGCGGCAGGAGTCTGCGCTGGCCGCGCTCTTGACTTGCCACAACTTCTCCCCAGGCCGCACTGGGCGTCCTCGGTGGGTCGAGGTGATGAGGGCACTTATTAAAAAAAGACACCCATGTTTTTCTGAGATGTCTGCCTCGGTTTACCTGCGCCTCCTCGCTTTGAGTTTACTTATTATTTTCTTTTTGGGGACTGATTGTTGGCGACATAGCCCATGAGGTGTGCAAAACGGGAGGGCTCCTTGAATTTTAGAGAATTAAGATTTAATGATAAAAACAAACATTACACCCATTCTTAAGAAACTCATTTTCAGTGACTCAAAGCTGACCCGATAGGGTACTGATAAGTGTGGCTCATGTCCGTAATTGTGGCTTGCAGGTACCTTAATCTGTGCCTGCCTCTAGCTTCTTGGTGTGTGTGTGTGTGTGTGTGTGTGTGTGTGTGTGTGTGTCCCCGTGCGTGCCCGCTATACTCCATGCCTGGCTAGAAGACGCACTACTTGCAACTGAAACCTAATGTTAATTCAAAATGGCAGCATGAAAAATCAGGCCAGGCAGAAACAGCACAGACCACAGCCAAGGAAGGCTAACCCCCTGACCTCAGCCTTGGAGGGAAGTGTCTCTTGGGTATAAGGTAGAGAATGATTCTTGCAGCTTGTTAAAATTTAGTGATTGGCAAAATCCTAGGGGGTGAGTGGAAGTTTGCAGAGCTGCTGTTATTTTCCCTAACTCGTCAAAAGCAACACAAAACACATTGAAACTCTGCGTACGATCTGATTTTCTTCAGTCTTAGCTAAAGTTGACTATGTGGCTGCTAATGTGTGATGCACTATTTAGATATGGCCTTGTACATACAAGCAGCTCTTAAAAGAGATGGTGTAGAGTATAAGCATCAGCCTAGAATAGTGCACATAACAAGTCCTGTGCAAACAGAAAGCTGCATTGGAGGAGCCGATTTGGCACCGTAAGTAAGTATCCAGGTACCAGGGAATGCCAAGTTCTCAAAAGGTGACTAATTTTAGATTTTTTTCCTTTCCCTTTTCACTGCCATGCTGCCAGCCATCTTGCCTTTTAGGAAGGAGGAGATGCACAAGGAAACAAATGCTCTGAGGATAATGCAGTAGGGGAATACTGGCCCAAAGGTCAGGAATGGCAGAGTAGGAGGCATCTTGAGCAAGTTTTGCTGTGAGCCCCTTGGTACAGTGGAGAGGCTGAATCAAACAGGATAGGTGGCCCACCAGTCATAGACCAGACTGGTAACTGACCGTGAGAATCCAGGTCCAGGCCCTGTAATTCCCTGTCAGATGTTCCGAATGCATGCCACCTTTCAAAGGAGGCTTTATTAGGATGGCAGATACTTTGAACAATGGGAAACCAAGCTGTACCATGAATTTAAAAACCCATTGGTGTTTAAAGTTAGGGACCATGCCAAAGTTTCTTATTGAAAGATCATTGAACTTTTTTGTTCTTTTATTTTTTTGGTACTGGGGATCGAACTCAGGACCTTGTGCTTGCCAGGCAAACACTTATGCCATTGAGCTAAATCCCTGGCCTAGGCTATTGAATTTTGAGCTGTGTCCACCTCACATTCACATTTCCTAGTGATGAGACTGCACTGAAGAACTGAAACCTTAATTTTAATCAAATCTTTGAGGTAGAATGTGTATTCTTTTGTTTAGAAGTTGGCTGCTTCTGTTTGTGTTTGACCAATTTATTTGGCAAGAAACCTAAGCTTTCCATGTATCTAGTTTCTTTTTTTTTTTTTTTTGTCTTTTTCCTTTTTATCGGTACCAGGGATTGAACTTACCGACTGCCTGCTTGCAAGGCAGGTGCTTATGCCGCTGAGCTAAATCCCCAGCCCCTTATCTAGTTTCTTTAGTGTATTCACTGTAAGTAGGAGTAAGTAACAAGCCCATTTTAAAATAACTCAGACTGAAAGCAGAAGGTTTTTCTCTAATTTGAATTTGAAGTTTGCAAGTGATCATTAGTGAGCCTACATCCACCCAAGCAGAAGTGGAGATTTTGTGTGGGTTTAGATGTGGAAAAGAGAAGGAGGCAGCAGGTAGAGAATATGGAGAGAATGTCTTGAGACAGGGGAGTAGATGGGAACTGGGTAGATATGTTATGCTGATATGAGCCATCTTACAAATGACTTGCGGTAGAGCATGAATGTGAACATATGCCTAAGATAATTCAAAATAACAAGCTTCAAATATATGTAGAGCTGGGGATGTAGCTCAGTGGTAGAGTGCTTGCCTAGCATGTTGAAGCCCTGAGCTTCATCTTCATTCAGCATCACAAAACACAATAAAAACTACATAATGCCATATATGTTTGTTGGCGAACAATAAAGATACAAATACACCAAAGTTACTTTTAGAAATCATTATTTTCTTTGAGATAAGAATTGAATTCTGTGCCATCCAGTTTAGTAGCAGTTAGCCACTTGTGGCTGCTAACTTCAAATGTGACTGGTCTGAATTGAGATGTCCTATCAGTTTAAAAACACCCATCAGGATCTAAAAATTTAATGTGCAGAGAGTTTAAGGTATGTTGTTAGTAATTTTTATACAGACACTACGCTGAAATAGTATGTTGGATATATCAGGTTAAATAAAATACATTATTAAAAAGCTTCACCTGTCTTTATCTTTTCTAATGTGGTTACTAGAAAATACAAAATTGCATGTATGACTGCTGTCTGTCTTGTGTGGCAACATTGCCTGCTGGACAGTGCTGGTCTCAGTCATTAACGGGAAACCGAATTTAGTGGAAACTCTTGATGTTTGCAGAGTTGGGCATGCAAGAATAAACAAACAGGAACTGGAAGGGGAATGGTGAATGTTGCATTGCTCAGCATTTCATTACTGTGACCAAATATCCAACATACATAAAGGAGAAAAGGTTTATTTTAGCTTTCGGTTTCAGCGGTTTTAATCCATGGATGGTTGTCTCCAGGACAGAAGCTTAATGGAAAGGCATGGCAGGGGAAAGATACTGACCGCGTGGCAGCCAGGCATAGAGCAGGAAGAGCCAGAGAGGGGAGGATCTGAGGAGAAGACTCTCCCCTTCCTGGTTATGCTCCTAGTGATGTTTAACCCACTGGTGTGGTTAAGGCCAGCTTTCCCATGATCTAATCACTTTCCCAAAGCTCCATTCCTGAATGCATAAGTGTGGGGGATATTTTTGATCCAAACCACGAGTGGAGAAGGAGTACAAGGAGTGAGTGATCAGTGATTCTTTGAGATGGAGAAGAGATGTAGTGGATTGGAACAGCTGGGTTATGAGAGGTTCTTCTGCTGTGCTGAGGATGGAATCCAGAGCCTTGTACGTGTTGGCTATTTCTGTACTATTGAATTATGTCCCAAGCCCCTGTTGTCTTTTGAAGCTGAGTAAGAAGACTATGTCATCATCCCAGGACTCAGGAATGGAAACAGGGTTGTCAGGTGACATGGTGGTGGGTGGTTCAGTGCTGAGGTGACTGTGCCTTACATTGCACAGTAATCTCCTCAATCTGATGTATCTTTGTGAACACACTCAAAAGAGATTAGTGGACCCTGGGACAGAGAAAGTACCCTAGGCAAATTAGGGGTCTTGGGTCCTAGCTCTGGTTCTGCCTGTAATTAGGAGTATGACCTTGAACAAGTCCTTGTTATTTTGTCTCACTTTAAGAAATGGGATGAACAAGAGCTGTCCACTATGACACTAGGTGGTTTCCATGGGATGAGATATGGCATATTAGAAACATAAGGGAATTTATATTTATTTGTTAAAACACTATATAATGAGATAAAACTTTTGCTTCTGTACATGTGTATAAGAGAACAACAAAAACAACAACAAAAAAAGACAAGCCTTCTTCTATTCTTTAAGTGGGTTAAGTTCATGGATGCCAACAATATCAGTTTTGTGTTTGCCGATCTGAATATCTGAATCAGAGGTCACATTCAAGGGTGCATCTGCACATCGTCTTCATGTAAAAAAGCATCACAGACTATACCGATGAGGTATGGGCATTTTAATTAAAAGGACTATTATATTTAGTTCACCCTGTTTCTATCATGGGATTTTCCTGCAACTGGCAAAAATAGCATAGATTCTGTTTTATACCATCCAACTTGCTTTTCTTTATTATTTCCCACATTGTGCAACCTGGGGGTTGGTGGTAACAATAGATGAATTTGCAGACATAAAGCTGCAAGTACAGCACTTCACATTTGTTCTGTTTTTTTCCCTTTATTCCAATGGAGTGGCTAGAGGGGAATTTAAAGGAAAGTACAACACAGTAAGTAATTAGCATTATGTAGTGGATTGGTAGACACATTCACAAGGTGCAAAATGTGTTTGAAACATACAGTGAATGTTTAAATTTTTTTAAAACTATTACAGTTAACAACACAATGTTAACCCTCCTCAAAATACTCTCTCACTTTGAATACACTTACACCATCATTCTTACCTCTTTCTAAACCAGTTCTGGAAGTTTTCTTTTGTGTCTTTACAAGGCATGATAAAATCTACAGCTCACTACTTCTGAGACCCAAAAGGCAGGCTTGTAAAAACATTAATGTGTCCTCATTTACCTTATTTACTGTTCCTGGCATTGTGTGATTTCTGGTGAACATGACCATGAAGGGTAAACATTTTGAATTTATTCTAGACATCAAGTCAAGTCATGTACAATAGAGCAGCTAGACACACCTGAAAGAAGACTTCCCGAACTGCTTCAGAAAGTGGCCAGAATGACAGAGTAAGTGTGTTCACAGTAAGAGGAGCATTTTGAGGCGATTGATGGAAATATGTCTTTTACTATAATAAAAATAGTAACTAGCTGGAGTTTTTGATGACACCTAATAATTTTGTCTTTTAAGTGTAATTCTGTAATACAAATCATGTTTAATTTGTTAGATTTGGTCAAATTTCCTAATGAAACTTTCCCCACTGCTGGCAAACCTTTACATTTTTATTAACTTTTTAAAATATTAACTTATTTTGTAGTTCTTTATAAGTGAACATTTTTTAGTAAACATTTTGGCTATTTGTACTTATTTTTCTTTGAAATGGTATTTCTGTACTTTGCATATTTTTCTTCAGGGTAGTCTTTTATTGATTTATAAGAGGAAATAGTCTCTTTTTGATGGTTGTTGCAACGTGTTTCCTTCCTTTCTTCCTTCCTTCCTTCCTTCCTTCCTTCCTTCCTTCCTTCCTTCCTTCCTTGCTGCTCTCCCTCTCTCCTCCCCTCTCTCCCTTCTTTTCTGTGGTGCTGGAGTTTGAATCTGGGGCCTCATGCGTGGTAGGCAAGCTTTGTATGCTGGGCTCTATCCTTAGCCTTTGTATTTTCAGACAGGGCCGTGCTGTATCTTCCAGGCTGATCTTGAACTTGTGATCCTCTTGCATCAGCCTCCCTAGTTGCAAGGAGTACAGGTGTCCACAAACATGTCAGCTATAGTATTTCATTTAAAAAGTTTTGCACGATAAGTTTAAAGTTACTTTTTATTTAAGTCTATAATATTTTCCTTTCTGAGATACTGATTTTATTTGTTTTTTGCATGTTTACATAGGCTTTTCCCTCCCTAGTGTCATTAAAAATGATCTAGATGTTTTGCATTTTGGAAAAAAAGTTAAATTTTGAATTGTAGTAATTTATTTTTGACAGTGAATTGGAGGCCTGGACATACTTCTTCCCTCTTTTCCCATCCAACAGAGTCAATTATCCCAGCAGTATTGATTATTTAATACATCTTTTACCTTGGTTTCAAATTCGACCTTCATCGTATAATAATTTCCTACATGATGGTCATTTTTCAAGACTCAGCTTTTGTATAAGTATCAAACTAGTTTAATCCTGAAACTTTTTAAATACAGTTAATACCATTTAAGCCTAGTCTTTCTTCATTCGTTTTCATTCCCAAAACAATTTGGTTAATCCCACATATATTTTGTGGGTTTTTTTTCATGGTGTTAGGGATTGAACCCAGTGCCTTGAGCTTTTTAATTACGTATGATACCACTGAAGTATACCTCCTATCCTCAAAGATCACTTGTGACGTATTTTCTTGAAAATCGCTATTTGTATATTCATTGCTGCCAGATTGACTCCACTGATTAATTTAGAGAGGACAGACACTTCCGTATAACGTCGACTCTTTCCAGCAAAGAACTGGAGCATTTCCTGGCCATTCAGATTTTCTCTATCCACATAAAGCCCTACTTTTTTTTTTGAAATGCATCTCTCTAGTAAACTTATCAGAAAATGGAAGAATCCCTATAAGGAAAACTATAGGACTCTGGCAGTGAACGCAGAAAAGCTCACACAGGGAAGAGATGCTTTCTGTCTTTGACTGGAATATGAAGTCTGGGCCAGCTGAGAATGGGACCGTTTTGGAGTCTGAATTTCCATTTCTCTCCTTTTTTTATTTTATCACTCCAGGCAAGCTACATAATGTCGGTTTTCTCTTGTGTAAAATGGGGACAATATCTGCATGATAGGGTTGTTGTGAGGATTAAATGATTACACATGTATTTTGTTATTTATTATTATTATATTATTAAGTACCTAATGAGCGCTTAATGTTCTAGCATAAAAGTTTTAGGTTGTATGAATGTTATTATTTTAGCTGCACCTACCAGATGAATCTGTAAATTTGATGTAATTCCAATCACAAGGCCATTAAAAAAAAAAGAAATTTGGGCTGGGGGTTATAACTCAGGGGTGAAGTGCTTGCCTAGTGTGCACCAAGTCTTGAGGTCCATCCCCTGCATGAGAGAGATAGACAGACAGACAGACAGACAGACACCTGGGTTAGTCCTATCCTCCTGCCTGTCTTTCCTCAGAAGCCCCCAGGGACTGAGTGAGCTAGATGGAATGTCCAGTCAGATGAGAGGAAAGGGACAGGGCCAGGGGCCTCACCTGAAGCTAGGAGAGGAACTTGCCTGTCTTACAGTTCCTTTCTCTGTTTTTTTGGATCGTTTATTTAACATAATCACCAGGGAGAGTTTCTGCCTCCAAGGGGAGCCTGTATCTTGAAAGCTCCCTGATCACTTCTGATCCTTTTAAGTGGGGTTAGCCCTTCCTTGCTGGGCTGTGTGCACGTGAATGCTCTTCTTCCTGATGATAAAATCCTTGATGGTATCTTAGGTCCTCCTTGCTTTGGGCTCAACTTGGTGGTTGTAGATGACTAGATGCTCAAAATGTGGGTTGTAAATTATGTGACTTTTAAAAAATCCTAGTTAAAATTATGTAGTGATCAAAAATTCTGAGTATTTTTTTCCCTTGCTCTTAGAGTGAAGCCTTAGTGGTTTTTTAAAATTGCACTTAGTAGTGCCCTAGTGACCCAAAAGAATTAATGGAATGTTTTAAAGTATCCTTAGGCACTAAAATAATAAAAATCCAACAAAGTAGTATGACCTTACTATAAAAAATTTTAAAATTACATAATCAGATAAGGTGAAATTTAAAATTTCTATTTTCATATTCTCATGCTTGCCCCCCTCCCAACTATCAGATGTTAATCCTTTCTGTTCCTTTTCTCTTTGTCTGTTTTCTCTCTATTACCTATCCATATGTCATATATACTTATATTTATATGAATGTTCATTTATACACATATATGTATATACAGATGTGTAACAATATATTCACATTTTTTTTTTTTTTTGGTAGGGGAATTATGCTCAGGACTGCATGCTTGCCAGGCATGCACTGTGACACTGTGACACAAAGTTGTTTTTGTCTTTTTGAAACAGAATTTCACTGTGCTGTTCAGGCTTCCCTTTAACTTACTTTGTAGCTCAGGATGGTTTTTAACTCACAGTAGTCCTCCTGTCTCAGCCTTCTAAGTGCTGGGATTACACGCATGAATCACCCTGCCTGGCACTATGTATATGCATACAGGTTCTTTTTGATGGTGCAGGGGGACAAATCTGCTAATTGTAAACACAGCAAGTAGCTCTAACATTAACGTAGTTTTACATTCTATTCGCTATGTTCTAAGTTAAGTTGTCCTCTGGTTTCATGCTGAGATTTATGGAATTTATTACTTTATTTACTTCATTATTTTATTTCTTCTTTAGGAAATTAATGAAGTGTTTTTTAAAACAGCAACAAAGTTAGTCAAGTACCATTTTAAGAATGAATGGGGAGATTTTTTTAAATAGAAAAAATAAAATTTCAAAGCAATAATTAAAGGATAGCAACAGTTAATACATTGTATATTGTTATCTTTAGTTAGCAATATACAGTTAGTTAGAATACAATATATCTGCATTTAATTGTCCAAACAATATTAGTACAAACCATTCTTTTCAATGAACTAAAATTAGTAGTCTATCTTTTATATATAAAATCATTTATATATACACACATATATTATTCCTTTCAGCTTCTCACACTAGAGAGACAATACAGTGTTTATACATGCGAGTCTGATTTATTTCATTGATGAGTGTGGTCTGTAGTTGCATCCATTTACCTATAAATGTCTGCAGGTTTTTAAAAAATCCCAGTTTACAGGGTTAGCAGGTACGTACCAAGGCACACTAGTGGGGAAAATAGACAGTGCACTGTTTAGATGGGAGAGGAAGACAGATGGTGGGAACAGCGAGGTCATAATTCAAAGCAACCTTGCCAAATTAGTGGACACAATGGCAGCAGTGTCAGAGATGAGAACAGAAGGAAATGAAAGGCTCCTAGATGTGGCTTGCTGAGTAGCTACCAAATATTTCCCACAGAGAATGCTTTTGGCTGCTAACCGTAGAACTGCCCATTTTAAACTATATTTTTCCTTTGGCTCCAGGATTCTGTTCTTTAAGAACAAGTCAAAGGAACAAACTTTTCTTGATGTATCTTTATTCCGGATGCTCTGCACATATTATCTCATTTAATCCCCATAACTACATGTGATTGACACGATGACCTCATTTTATAGGTGAATAATTGAGCAAGGGGATAAAGCACCCAGAATCTAGGTCTGACTTTCTTCAACATCTTTAATATATAGCCTCTTAGAGTCATTATTTTGACGGTACACAACTAATTTAAATCATTATTGTGATACAGCTGTTTTCTTTTTCCTCTCTCCCTCCCTCCCTCTATCCCTCTTTTCCTTTCTTTGGAACATGGAAAACTGCCTTTCTACCTGCCACACACAGGAGAACATCTTCTAACAATGAACCTGATCTGACTATTTTTCTAATTTAGCTAGCTTTGTTGAAAATTGTAATGTAAGTGCTCTTCTCCTTGGCTTTTTAAAAATCGTGTGTCCAGGGGCTGGGGATTTAGCTCAGCGGCATAAGCGCCTGCCTTGCAAGCAGGCAGTCCTGAGTTCGATCCCTGGTACCGATAAAAATGAAAAAGACAAAAAAAAAAAAAAAAAAAAAAAAAAATCGTGTGTCCACGAGGAATGAATGACACCCAGTTTATCACTTGGGGATCTCTTAAAGAACTCTTGCATTGTAGATGTTTGTGCAACTTGCAATTAAAAAAAGTGGAATCATAGTGTAAATGCATCAGAGAAGTGGGCAGAAGATAACTGGATATGGTGAGATTTTTGTAGGTGATTTTTGAATTTGGGTGTGTCTCAACACTGGATGATGATAACACGTTATGTATCTGCACTGTTACCTTTCAAGGACATGAACATTCCACTGTCCCTGAATACATGTAAATTCATTGAAAGTGTTACTAAATTAGTGAGCTATACTCATTACATGTTTTGCCCAGCAAACTATAGTGACTGTGGGGGTATCCAT